ACCTTGCACGCACATAACCGAAGAGAGACTTCTACGAAGCGAAGAAATATGAAATTGCATAACAAAATAATCTTTTCGCCTACAAATACAATACCAATTGAGCCATGCAACTAAGTGGCATATGGCATACGGCAAAAAGAAGACGCAAAGAGTGAAGGTCTTATCTATCCTTAGCCAACATTAAGGAATATTAACGAATGACAGCTGTCACTCAAGGAAAATGACAACACAAAGCTAATGCATGGAATTAACACGTACAAAGTCATAATAGAATTGAAAATGAAAGAACGAAAAGAAAGCGGACAGAGCGAGACAGAGAGAGAGAGACAATAAGAGGGAACAGCAGAGAAAATAACGATAGAAAAATATAAGAAATACAGAAAAAGTCAGATAGGGAAAGGTAAGGTTATTTTTGAAACCTAATGGCTTGCGCACTTATCAAACGTCAGCTGTCTGGGGAAAAAGAAAAGTTTTTCTGAAAATTTAGTTGCAATTTTTGTTGTAAGACTTCCCTCGCTACACATACTATTAGCTGAAATATTTAGAAAAACAGCGCACAAAGCGTTTCAATATGAATTTTATATTTTTTTATTGTCAGCGATTTTTAGAGTGAGAAAAATAACTTAGTCATAGGTGTACAGTTAAATACATACAAATATACAAAGTAACATAATAATTATTAGAATAGTGGGCAATTGTTTTTGTTGTGGTATGGTGGTGGTGGTGGTGGTGGTGGGGGCTGCTGGTCGTATCGAAATGACGGTAATACAACATACTATATTATAAGAGGACATACAAAATTCACTTTCATAAGTATTGTTGCTATTGTTCTACTACTATTTTTTTTGCTGTTGTTGTAATTCTGTATGTATGTATAAAAATTTCGGACAACTGCCTGAGACATATGTATATGCGACTCGCCGAAATATATGCAAATTAACGGTATCCATAGTTGTAAAGTTATATAAATATTCAGTTGATTTGTTGTTTCTTATGACAGCAAGTGCATATTTGTAAGGACATACATACACATACATACATACATATACATATATATATTTTCCACATTATCGCGGTCTAGCCGCCGGGCTGTCATTATGCATGCCGCCACGTTACACATTTATATGCTTTAATTCATTTGTTTTTGTTTTTGTACTTTATATGTACTTTTTTATTTTTTTTTATCATTTCCTTGCAATTTAACAAGATTGTATGCGAATGCGGTTTAGCGGGTTTATGGGGCTATCAAATGAAATTAATTTATTTCGCTATAAGTGTATGTATGTAGTGTATATAAAATAAAAAAACGCAAATAAAAATTAACTTATCTTTGTGTTTAATAACAATTATAAAACTAATTTGCATTTTGTGGACGTTAGTGTGCTCAACGCATACTCATGTATACAACTTGACATTCATTAAGTGTTTGGTAGGGTGCGAGTTACTTCCACAAGTTGATGATTTCATTGCAGACGTCAACTGAAATTTCAGTTACTGTTGTAAAAAACATTCTTTTATGTAAAGAAGCTATGTATTTTCATTCTAAAGCGTGTCTTACATATGAAAAATTTATATATTTTTATATAACATGGCATTTTTTGACATTTTGCATAAAACAAGTAAATCCACAACATTGGGCAAGTGTTATTCTAAAACAAAATTTTCTGCGCTACAAAAAAGATTTTAATGATTTTTTCCTAAAAACATTTCTTGCAAAGTGATACATCATGATACATGTACAGGAATTCATACAAGACAACATGGTATTACGCATAAAATAAATAAATCTAAAACTTAAAAAAACCGTTATTCTAATACAAAATTTTCCGCGCTACAAAAGAAGATTTTAATGATTTTTTTCCTAAAAACATTTCTATAAAAGTTATACGCTCTTAAACTGATACATCAATTGCACTGAATCTCCATACAAGCGTTCCCTACAAATACTGCGTCACTCATACGTCATGGCGTACTGCATGAAAATCATATTGGGGAAATAACGCACACCTTGTTATTTAGCTACAATATTTTCAATATAATTTGTTATTATTTTGTATTTGATTATAACTAGCGCTTACGTAAAATACAAATATATGCACTTGCATGCAATTTCTCTTCCTTTATTTTATATTACATATATAACACACGCACTTACACACCTTTTATGCTCACGTTTTTCTTTTTATTTTTATACTAACCACTTTTATTTTTATGAACTTTTTTTGTTTAATCGTAGTTAATTATACACTATACAACACATATAACTATATTTATTTATAAATATTTAGGTATTAAAAGCTCCTTAAATTCTTTTCTTCTCAGTTGTATTAAAAATATTAAAGCATATTAAGTTTAGAAAAAATCTATTAAAATTATATGTTTTTATATGTATATATTTGTCTATATTTAAAAATATATAAAAATAGCCATACACTCATTACGTGGCTGTTCAATATTTACAGTACAAGGCAGCGCAAATGATATTTAATTTTTAATTAGAAAGTAAATTGATTTAAATTTATGGAAATTTCGTCAGCTTAAATAAGAATAACTAGCAGTAAGCTTAATTTATGCATTAAAAAGTCAGTTAAAATACATAAATTTGCACAACAGTCGCTGGCGTATACCAATACACTTACAAGTATATATGAAAATATTCATACGCATAATAATAATATAATAATTAATAATAAATATATGCAGTCGTAGATGCATTGATGCTCGTAAGCCGCTTTGTTTGATGGAAGTGCAGAGATTATTAAGAATAATAATTGTAATATATTATTAAATAAGTGAAAATATTAAAATCTTTCGCATTTAAACAAAAAATATGGCTGCGCCTAAAGGTGCACACCTGGCGTGACATTAAAAAAAGATCTCATATTTAGGATAGTTTACAAGATTAAAAATTACATACCAAAATATAAATTTTAAACCGATATCTCAAATAGTTTTTAACTTACAGCCTTCTAAAAAGTAGCTGCTCAGTTCAGCTTATGAAATTATATTAAACTAATTTTTCTCCCATCGACATTTTTCGAATTTGCTTGCATTGATTACACGATCCAAACAATATTAAATTTTTTCTTGATTTTCTGTACTCGTATATAGTTGACCCACAGTTTGCACTTTGGCACTCAAAAAAGTACCGAAATTTTGGATGAAATTTATATTAAAAAGTAAAAAATAAAAAAATGCCAGTTTGCCATTTTGTTTTTTATATCTTGCAATATCGTCTGATGAGATTTTTTTATTTTTTTATTTAGTTTCATCTACAGTGAAGGCCGGAATCACTGCAGCATTGAAAGACCCTCTTTCAACACAGTCACAGACCTCAAGTAATTTTTAACAGCCTTTTAGCTAGGTCACACGGGGCGGCCAATTTGGAGAATCATTATACGATACTTTTAAAATTAAATACATATTTATAATTTTTTCAAATTTAATATATATTTAATACAACTTTTTATTATTTTTTTTATTATTTTAGTATAATTAGTTCTGTTTTATGCAATATTTACAACTTTTGTAAAAATTTTAGGAATTAAAAAAATAACTACAAAAATCTATTTTCATTTAATTTCACTAGTTATTAAGTTTTTGTAATATAAGTAGAAACAATTTAATTCTTTCTGATCTTTTTAATTTATATTTTCTTGCTGTTTTATTTAGTTTTCTCTTA